TACGAGTTGCAATACGATAACACTTCCGCACGCAGCTGGGTATTTTATGAATGAAATCAGCCATTTTTTTTTACAACTGCATTCCCCTTACTGTTGCCCCGTAGTCACAGACTCGCTGGGCAGACATTAGTATATCTAATTAGTTGTTTTTAATTGAATCACCTCAAAAACAAAAAAGTTACCTATATGAAGAACTACCACATTGTACTCTGGTTTTGGGCACCGTCCTGACATTCTACTACGTGATTCAGCTTGAATAGGCCTAAAGGTACGGTTTGTTCGGCTAGTACGCGATGCACAACTGACAACGTAAACGTCGTCATTGGTTCAGGTATGACGTAAACCCGTTACCTGACGTCAGCGTCAGAAAACGAGTGTACATCATACCTGAACCAATGACGACGTTTACGTTGTCAGCACAGAACATATCACCTCTAGAAAAGTATCTGCAATGTTATGTACCGGTTATGAATTACAGCGCCATCGTTGACTGAAAACCCAACTAATCGAGCATTCTTGACAAAAAGGCGAATTGATTTTTTTCATATATTTTTAAATAATTTTTAATGTTCAACTGCATTTAGCTTGCTGACTCCTTTTAGCTCTTTTCGCCTCATTTTTTTGAAAACTATGACTGGCAGGAAGTTTCCGATGTCGAACAGAGAGTGCAAAAAGAGTTAGTAAGTTAGCAAGAGACGCGCAGCTATGGGTAGATCGCAAAGTAAATACGAATAATAAATACAAATACGAACGAAACGAAACCAACGAGTAAATACAAAAAAATACGAACAAAAATTAGGGTTTTTTTCAACCAAAACTTTTTGAATTTTCACTTTAACGCGCGTGGGGACCATGGTTTACAACACAATTTAAAAATTCAAATTTTGACTTTTAAAATGACAAAATAAATGACAAAACCAACCAACATAAATCACTGTCCACAGCACAGATACCTGTAAATCTCTCTTATCTCCCGACAGTGTCGCCATCGTTGATTAAAAACCTAACTAAAAACCTTCGTCGCGATTCTCCCATTTGAGATATTTTTCTATAGGTGATATGTTCTGTGGTTGTCAGTTTTGCGTCGCGTAATATCCTAACAAACCGTACCTTAAGAGAAACTCAGGCGTCTGGAACGGAATATCATGCACCATCTTAAAAATTATTTTTTCTACTACCGTGCGTAAAGTAATGTCAGTGACAGATGTCGACCTGTCAAATTACTATTTTTCTGGTAAATTACTTCACACACTAGTGCGTAAAGTGAAAATACTTTACGCACTACTGCGTGAAGAATTTGTCTAACTTAATTTTTTTATACATATTTGATTGGTAGTAGAAAAAATGTTGCATGCAATACGTGCGTAAAGCACCTTTTTTCACTCATGTGATTGTCGCACTCGCCTTCGGCTCGTGCGTCAAAATTCACATTCGTGAAAAAAGGTTCACTTTACACACTTGTTGCATAAATAACTATTATACCTCAGTTATACTCAACTATAAAAATTTAAAGTTAGTTTTGGTAGATTTGTGAGATCATAGAGCTTATTTTATCAGGAGTATGTTTACTTAATATCCCGAATAGTTTTTGAGATATCGCAGATTTAACAGAAAATGATAGTAGAAACCATCACTTTTTTGATAGTATAAAACGGACATAATTCGACTTCTGTCTTTGGTTGCCCTATAAGCGCCAACATTAATTCATCATCAAACATCAATCGAATTTTCAATTTGAGTCTCGTGAATTAAAACTCTATTCTAAATTGGGTTGGAAAAATGGCTTTTTAAATTAAAAATTCAATTGATGATTTCAATCCTGGGGATTTTAAATAGTTTGCTAATGCTAAAAAAATGTGATTACTCTTACTTAACTTATATTTAATTTGTCTTGAAACTGTATAAACCTGGTTGTGAATCTTGTTAAAGTGTGGTCTCATCTATTTACCTTCATGTACAGGGTGGGCCAATTTGGACACTTTTAATAGGAAACGTCAATTTCTGAGCGGGATACAAAAAAATTTCATGAAATTTTGATTGGTGCAAACCGCATTTTGATATGTTCAACCGTTTAGCCGCTAGAGAGCGATTCTCGATTTTGAGCAAAACAGTGAAACCTTCATAATTTTTTTGTTTATGAAAATAATTCATTTCTGTAAAGACTTTCTAGAGGCACTTTTTTAAGCGGAATTCAGTGACGTTCTCAGCTTTTTTCTATTTGGCTCCGATTCGGAGATATTGATCAAAATCCGATTTTTTTCAATAGGACATCCTATATATTAATAGCTCATTGAAAAGCGCTGATTTCAATTATATAAAATTCGATAGGTTTATCTCCAACGGTTTCCGAGAAAATAGTTATTTATGCAACAAGTGTGTAAAGTGAACTCATGTGATTGTTGTTAAAATTCACATTCGTGAAAAAAGGTGCTTTACGCACGTATTGCATACAAATTTTTTTCTACTACCAATCAAATATGTATAAAAAAAATAATAATTGACAAATTCTTCACGCACTAGTGCGTAAAGTATTTTCACTTCATGCACTAGTGCGTGAAGTAATTTACCAGAAAAATAGTAATTTGACAGGTCGACATCTGTCATTGACATTACTTTACGCACTAGTGTGTGAAGTGAACTACTTCACGCACTAGTGCGTGAAGACAAATTTTACGCCGCAATGTTATGCCATTGCCATACCTATGTCAGAGAAATGCTGGGGTATCTTGGGTCGGGTTGGGTGGGTTTGGTACCTTTGTATTTTTCTGCTAGACAGATTCTTGCAAATAGTGATATTTAATTGATGAGTCGGCCATCGCTTTTATTATTATGATAATATCAGAATGCTGGAAAATTATTTTTTAATTTTTAGTGCATTTTATAAAAGCTTGTGACTTAAAAATTTTTTTTTAACAATTTATTTTCTACTTTTTAGTCTCAGCTATCTACCCTATTAAACGAAAATATTTGTTCAAAAAGTTTATGATATTACATTTTTGAACTCTTAGTTTGTTTGGAAACTCATTTTTCTATTGGAGCGGGGGGGAGGGTGGGGGTAGAAGTAGAAATATATTTTTTGTTTGGGCTGTATTGCCATCGGACCTTTATGCATATACCAAATTTTATAAAAGTAATTTGCAGTGAAGTGTGTCAAAAACGCATTTTTCTATGGAAGGGGGTGGGGGTAGGGGTGGGAGGACATTTTTTTCTTATTGTTGTATTGTCATCGGACCACTATATGTATACCAAATTTCATCCAAATCGGATAATGGGAAGTGTGTCAAAAACGCATTTTTCTATGGAAGGGGGTGGGGGGTAGGAGTGGGAGGATATTTTTTTTCAATGTTGTATTGTCATCGGACCACTATATGTATACCAAATTTCATCTAAATCGGACAATGGGAAGGGTGTCAAAAACGCATTTTCTATGGAAGGGGGTGGGGGTAGGGGTGGGAGGATATTTTTTTCTTAATGTTGTATTGTCATCGGACCACTATGTGTATACCAAATTTCGAGCCAAATTTCATCCAAATGGGATAATGGGAAGTGTGTCAAAAACACATTTTTCTATGGAAGGGGGTGGGGGTAGGGGTGGGAGGATATTTTTTCTTAATATTGTATTGTCATCGGATCACTATATGTATACCAAATTTCATCCAAATCGGATAACGAGAAGTATGTCAAAAACAAATTTTTCTATGGAAGGGGGTGGGAGGATATTTTTTTCTTATTGTTGTATTATCATCGGACCACTATGTGTATACCAAATTTTATCCAAATCGGATAACGGGAAGTGTGTCAAAAACACATTTTTCTATAGAAGGGGGTGGGGGTAGGGGTGGGAGGATATTTTTTTCTTATTGTTGTATTATCATCGGACCACTATGCGTGTACCAAATTTCATCCAAATCGGATAATGGGAAGTGTGTCAAAAACGCTTCACAAGATTTGATAGTTAGATAGTTAGATAGTTAGACAGAACATGTGAAGCTAGATAAAAGCTTGTAAAAATTATTTCTGTTTTTGTCATAAGAAACAATGTGTTAGAAAGAGACCTTTCTCGTTTTCCTTACAGCTATAAAATCCTTTTCCAACACATTGTTTCTTATGACAAAAATCGAAATAATATTTTTTTTCTCGGAAACTGTTGATAAACCTATCAAACTTTATATCATTGAAATCAGCAAAAGCAGAGCTTTCCAATAAGCTATTAATATTGTATAGGGTGTTCTATTGAAAAAAATCGGATTTGGGTCAATATCTCGAAATCGAAGTCAATTAGAAAAAAACTGAGAACGTCACTGAATTCTTCTTAAGAAAGTGCTTTTAGAAATCAATTATCAATTATTTTCATAAACAAAAAAGTTATGAAGGTTTCACATTATTGCTCAAAATCGAGAATCGCCCTCTTGCGGCTAAACGGTTGAAGATATCAATATGCGGTTTGCACCAATCAAGATTTAATGAAATTTGAGCCTCAGAGTGGGGGGTTCGTTTTTTTCTACCTCTAAAAATAAAGGGTGTTTCCATAAGAAAGTGTCCAATTTGGACCACCCTGTACATACAACTGGCCCTGTTATTAAAAACCTGACCAAGTGGCACTGATGATGGCTTACGGCTCAAAGCGCTTTGCACTAAAATTTTCAATAAAAAACTTGTACGAAATACAAACTTTCTGTTCACTTAATATATTTAATAATTTTTCGCCAAGATCTACGGAATTTTAAGCGGAATTGCGAAATGATCTTAGTTGAAAAATTTTGATTTGTGACCCTAAGGTTTGGACTAATTTCGAAAGACAAGTGGATCAGTACCTAATCTACAAAATTAATTTCCAAGGTCAAATCTTGTTAGCCACAAAGTGCCAACAGGAACAAAAAATAAGCCACTTTTACGCGCTGTGGCACTCTATTACAATTAGAATAATTATTCTTCTGGAAAAAGCTTATGAAAAAATTTAATTTTCCTATGGATTTACATCTTTTTGTTCTTTCTTTTAGGTCGTTAAAATCAAGGCAAACAAAACAGTAGATGAAATAAAAGAGATTCTCAAATCTTTCACCAAAGCAAAAAGAGAAAAACGTTGCGATACTTGTTTTGTTTTCATTATGAGTCACGGTTCAGAAAAATTAAATCAAACGATCATATATGGCACGGATGGAAGATATTTAACCACTGATGAAGTACAAAGCTACTTTGCCAATGAAAAATGTCCTTTGTTTCGTGGAAAACCAAAAGTGTTCATCTATCAAGTGTGCAGAGGAAATGAATTGGATTTACCAAAAACTGTACAAAGTACTGAATTTGACGGGAAACCACGAGGCAAACCAGTACTCTCGCCAGTAGTTCATACTGAGGCCAACAAACCACAAACAATGAGCATGTTCAGGCCAGTAGATGACATGCTTATAGGCTATGCTACAATGCAAGGTTCCAAAGCTCATAGGGACCCTTTCCGAGGCACCTGGTACATTGAATTGATTTGTAAATACTTCATGGAATTAGCAAAATATGAATCAGTTGATCATCTTTTGGTTAAAGTCGATGAGGGTCTGAGAAAAAGACGGTCTGAAATGGGGTCAGTCCAAACTGCTGAGCATATATCCAAAGGTTTTTGGAAATTGTACCTAAATCCTGGAATTTATGAAGAGAATGGTAGATTGGAGAGGTATGAATCTAATCGTAATGACTTTTAAATGTGATATTTTTTTTTAATGGATTTACAGCAATTTATATTTTTGTTGTGATGTTGGAAATATACATCAGCACAAGAGGAGAATTTATTAAAAAAAAAAATATTATCCATGGCAAAAAATAATAATACTTCTGTGTTGATGTATATAAATATATTTTTTAAAAGCATCTCATTTTTGGCAGGATTTTGTCGTGTAGAATAATTTGAGTGTCCAAACTATTTGTACAAACACTGCCTAAAAAGTTCCAAAATGTACATAAAAATAGTATTTTATAAAATAATCAGCTTGATAGGCAACATTTTTTAGATTTCATGCATTTTGTTTTATTAATATTGGAATTATTTGGACGTTGTCTACATATTTCATACATCACATGACATTAATATAGTCAAACTCAGATACAATGAACCATTAAGGGTGAACAGAAACAAATCTTGAGGAAGAAAATAGAAATCGTCCAATCCAAAATTTTCCTGAGTATGAGAAATCGAAAATTTTTGCCTGATACATTCCATTTCATTATAATCTAACAAAGTCTTCATTATATTTGTTCCATGCAGAACTACAGTTTTTGTTTCCAAATATGCAGTGTTGATGGTTTAATTTGAGTTTGACTGTATATGTAAGTGTAAAAATTGTCTTCAATTGTCTTATTTCAAGTTCATATTTTCCTCCAAATACATACTGCAAGACAAATAATTTAGCTTCTCATTTTTAGAACAAAAATACAAGTCAGTATTTTTGATTCTTCAAATAGGAGCTGAAAATGTCCTTGTTAGCTACAGTGGGAATTCATATCTTTGGCCTTGTACCAAAACATTGATATTCTAATTGTTGTTTATTTACCTAATTCAATAAAGCATTTATCTTTTTAGGTCAATTACTATATGTTTTTCTTTAATATTTGGCGTCAAAGTCAAGTTTTCTAAGTTTAGGCAATCTCCCATTCAAAATGGCACTTTTTATCTATAGATTGCGTTTGTATAATTTATGTTGTCTATCAATCTGCAAACAATGTTTTTAAAAAAATCGTGTTTGTCTATATTACCTATTATACACTTATATACAATTTTGTACTGTTCTTTTTTGACTAATTTACCTGATTACGCATAAAAAGACGATATACCTACAATATTTTTTTACATTATCCATATTTTTCTCAAAGAAGTAAACATTTAATATTAGCTTATTACCTATAAGACTTTTGTTTGCTCAATTATTACATTCGTTACCATATATTGACAGAATAATATCTGTATATAATGATAATGTTTATTTTATTAAGGCAACTTTTATAGTTTTCAAGAAGTATTCATTGAAACTTTTCAGATTGACTCCCTGTATAATTTCCAATTAATTACACAATAACAACGAACAGAACTATTCCCTACTTCTTTGAGATACATTCATATTATGCTCAATATTGTGTCATATTTTTTTTTTAGTATAAAAGCGTTAAAGTAAATCCATATTTACCGGTATGTAATAGGGATTACTCTACTTATAAGGGAGGTGTTGGTAGTTTCTTCCATTTTCTACTAATTTTTAGTTTACTAACCTTAAACGCATATCAGTGAAATGTGTTCAAGCATTTTCTTTCTGAATGAAAAGTATTCCCTAGTACTTACCTTTTACATTTTAAGTAATAAAATATTGGCTTGTGATTTTATACGAGTCTCCATTTTTATAGGTACATATTTTTATAGCATTATTTTAATAAATTTAGCTTGATTATTTTATTGGAAACTTATGGCTATAAGCTAAAAATCTAGCGTTTTAGATTCCTTTGCTCTTTTATTCTCAACTAAAACTAAATATATTTATTTATTTTCAAATAAATCATATATTACATAATTGCGTAAAGACTGGAAGTGCAAAAACTTCTTTTTTAAATTATATTATTTCAGTTTAAGTGCGAGTGTAGTGGAAAAAGGAATCTAAAATAAGTGCCCGAGGGTCATTGAAACTCAATTAGCACTTTATTTTATTATATTTAGTTAATTCTTTTTTTTGTTAATTTAGTTACAAAGCCTATTTTTGTATCTATCTATATTATAGTCAATTATATAATTTTATATTTATCAAACCCAAATTGTGTTTTTTTAAATAAAGGGCTTTATACATACATATAAAATTTGCTTTTATTTAAATGCCTTGTAAAGGTATTAACCCAAACATAAATTCTTTTAGTGTGACTTTTTGGACTAGATAATCTATTTCAGAGGGAGCCAAGAATTAGGCCTTCTACTGCTAGCTGGAAATTATTTGATCATATGAGATACTATTTGTATTAGTGTCGCAATGGAGTCCAAAAATATCCCTGAGAATTTTCCAGTCAAAGTCCAGTCCATCAATCCCATTTTTTTTGGATTATTTCAATTATACTTGTAGGTATATTTTTCTATACTTTTCCATTATTCATATTGCAGCAAATGCGCCCAAGTACCTACTCTTTTAATCAGTCAGATTTTTTGATACAAAGCTGTGTTGCTAAGTCACTGGTGGTTGATAATTGGTCTTGTGAGGGTTACATGATTTACATTTCTCCACAAACTCCTCAACGTCTTTACTTATAGATGAGCAATAGAAATCTTTTTTAATCATTTCTCTTATCTTTTTCCGTCCAGGCTGTCCTGAATAAATAGCGTTGTGATAAATTCGCAAAATTTCTGGAATTATTTTCTTGGGACCTAGTATTCTGTCAGTTCGCTGCCACTCTTCTCTCTGTTTATAAATATTCCCGTCGTCAATAAAATATGGGGAGCTCTCATAATCGAAATTTTCCTTTATTCGGTCTATCGACTCACCTTCCTGTTGCAATTTCTGTATTTCTTCTTTTGTCCAAATTGCAGATGATACAGGTCTCAACTCAACTCTTGTCCTCTAGTAACGACAGCTATCACGGGTGGCTCCCTTTCTTCATGTTCGTCATTTTCTTCACGTTACCAAGGTAATGCATCTACATTGCTGTTTAGATTCCCTTTTCTGTACTTAATCGTAAAACTGTATTCCATAGGAAACATGGGCCACTTGGCTAATCTTGAGCTTGCGTCTTCAATTGTCAATAAATACTTGAGAGGCCTATGGACTGTCACAATGACGAAATGAGTTCTGGTTAAATAGCTTAAAAATTATAGCTAAACATTCTCTTTCTATGGTGCTATATCGGCGTTCGACCTCATTCAGTGTTCTACTTGTATAGCACATATAGGATGTTATTCTCCTTCATATTCTTATGTTAAAATAGCTGCAATTGCGGTCGCACTAGCATCCGTATTGACCATGAACTCTTTGCTGAAATCTGGGTAGGTACCTACTTTAAAATAGGAGGTGTTATAAGTATCTAATGTCTTCATCAAGGTATCGGAAGCACTTTCTTGTTCTGGTCCCCAATGGTATTTAATATTTCTCTTGGTTAAATAAATTAACGGCTGACTAATATTCGCAAAATTAGGAACAAACTTTCTATAGAATCCACATATTCCAAGAAAAGCTCTTATCTCTTTGACATTCTTGGGTGCCGGATAATTCTCTATTACTCTGGTTCTATCGGGGTGTGTGGGTTGTATATCCATCTTCGCATATGAGATGCCCTAGATACTCAATTTATTTCTTCATAAAGTGACAGTTCGTTGGGGACTTTCACGTAATTTTTCAAAAATGTGCCTCAATCGTTCTAGATGCGAGTCCAAGTCTTTGGAAAATACAATAAAGCCGTCTAGATATAAATACATTACACTCGTCAATTTTCCTAGGATGTCAGTCATCATGCGGCTCCAAGTAGCCGGTGCGTTCTTTAAACCCATTGCCATCCTTAAAAATTGGTACCTAATGGTTATCAGGAGTTGAAAAATTGTTTTCTCCTGGTCCTCCTGGTTGTATGGGCACTTGAGAATAACCAGATGCCAAATCCATGGTAGAAAATAGGTGAGAACCCGCTAATTTTTCGATGGTCTCTTGTATATTGGGTAATGGAAAATATAGTCAGTTTTTGTTATGGTATTCAATTCCCAACACTGGCGCCGACTACATGGGGGCATTGGGGCAGGTGCACCCATAAGCAACTTCTCATGGGTGCGGAGCACCCATGGTAGCTCTCGTGGGGACTGTGGAAGTACAAACGTGCTTAATGGTCATTCCGTTCAGTATCATGTAATTTAAATTTACACAACTGTCTAAAAGAATTATACAAGTAGTATTAGTACTCTGTCCTTTGGTTATTTGTGGTCAGTTCTTCCCAATCAGCACATGTATGTCCCTGCGACTACGTATTAACCAAATACAACGTCGCCAGAAGTGCTGATAAGTGACCGCCAATCTAACATTTATCTAACTAGCTCAATTTTAACATAATAAATGAAAACCAGTTTTAACGTTAAATAGGTGACGTCAAACCGTCCTCCTCTTGCATACTTGTGACCTCTGAAAGGTACATTGTTACCCGCGATTGAAAAGTAAATAAAATTTGAGGAAGTGAGACAGTGAATGGGTAACTCAAACAAAAAAAAAATAGAAAGAGAGGGTTGGTCGGTGGCGCTAAAATCTAGAAACGGGACTTCGTGTGAAGGGTTGCCGACTAGCTTCCAATGCGGAGAGGAGTGTGGATCAATTAAATAATTAAATGTAGAGCGCCACCTGCTTTTCCCTGCAGTACACGAAGTCAACCGATATAACGAAAGCAGGAAACTTCTACGGACCTATTATAGCACCACAACCTGAAATATAAAAGTAAACAAGAAGGAATAAGGGCAGAAGTGAAACGCAGGTACGGGTTTTCAATTAGAACCAGAACAGGTTTGACTCTAGAGTAGGTTCGGAGTGGGTTTTCCGAACGCCCTGGAACACTGAAAATTATTAACAGCAATTGAATGAGGAAAATTTTTTAACGCCCGTGCGGAAAAATACTTTTCCGTACGCATTTTAGAACATGAAAGTACCAGGATGACTTAACATTGTATAATTATTTTACTTTTCCGCACTAGTTAGGAAAATTAATATTTTCATGGCCAAAAATTCGTGCAGAAAAAAGTACTTTTCGTGCGTTCGTAGAAAAAAAAATTTCCTCCCTCTACAAATAAAATATATAATAGCTATTTACCTAACAAGTGCGGAAAATGAATTTTTCCGCAAGTGTTGGGTACAATGTTTTTCCTACAGGCGAAAAAATGTAAAATTTTTCTTTTTTTTTTTTGACATATCAGTGCGGTAAAAATTTTTCCGCACTGACAGCCGTGCGGAAAAACTTTTTCCGCACTGATGTGTCAAAAAAAAAGATTTACCGCACCGTGCGGGAAAACTCATTTTCCGCACGCATATCAGTGCGGAAAATCGATTTTTCCGCACGGCTGTAGGAAAAGTTATTATCCTGCACCCATGAGGACTTTCAAAAGTCGGCGCCTCTGATTCCCAATAATCTATGACAAGCCTATACCCTATATACTGGATGTTCTCTCCAGGGTGTCTCTGCTTTTCTATAAGGATTGCAGAAAAACTTCATGGCGACTCACTTTCCACGATAACTCCATCATCAAGTAATTTCTGGATTTCTTGCTTCATAACCTCCTGTCGATGAAACGGTAGGTACTCTATAAGGTCTTTTAATGATTGGCTGCACATCCTCCGTAATAACTCTATGTACAACAACCTCTGTTGTATAGCTTAGTTTGTCTTCTGGTTCTTCAAACACGTCAATGAACTCAAGAACAAGCAGCTTAAGACTTTGCTCTTCTCTAGTGTCGTGTCTGGATGTTCTAACTTTAATTTTTTCAATATCTCCTTCACTCCTTTTTGGTCAATACTTCTTATTTGAATAGTTTCCTTTTGCTTATTGGCATTCTCAATTTCTGCTTCGTATGCTCTTGCAATTACAGATCTACTCTTTAGAATTGATTCTTTCTCTGTTATATTCAATAACCTCACTGGGACCACACTGTCCTTCTTACACAAAACACGTGCCACTAGCAATCCTGACAAAGCTTCTTCACATTGTTCGATAACTATGTGCTGAACCTTAACCCTTGAAGCTCTCGTATAGAGTTGCTCATTGACACACTACTTGACTCATCAGCGGTATCACCTCCTCTCCCAGGTTCCAGTGTCACCAGAAAACCATCTTAGTTTCTGAATTCCATGTACTTTACTGCGCTGGACCTTCATTGAAATTTCTTCCTAATGGACCCTCAAAATTCTTTCGGAATTTCCCTGCAAGTCCAATATCCTTCATCTCCAAAACTGGTGCTACTGGGAAGCCTGTCAAAACTTCATCACATATTGTTTAATGTCACAAGTAAGATGAAGACAGAGTCTCCATCTATTTTCTGGTCGGCACACCAAAAACTACACCAAGAACTGTTATAAAACTACAAATAGAATCGCAAAGGCATTCGCCGCAATTCCGAGAATAGCTAATCTAGTCGCCAACCAGAAATAAAGTCGGTTAGAAACCAAAAACATTGATTTTAATTAAGTAACGGCCCAATAATGGACCGATTGAGAAGTGTTTTCTCTCTGCCAGACCATCCGTGGACGCGTTTCGCTGTAGTACAACAGTTCATCAGCACGGTTAGGTCCAGCAGAGAGAAAACAAAACTCATTTTTGGTTCCGTCCCGGAACTGGGTTTGATACAAGTAAGATGAAGACAGGGTCTCCATCTATTTTCTGCTCGGCACACCAAAAACTGCACCAAGAACTGTTATAAAACTAGTATCAAATTGGAGCACGGATGATCCGGCAGAGAGAAAACACTTCTCAATCGGTCCTTTATTGGGCCGTTACCTAATTATTGTTTAAAGTGTTGAACTTTGGCCCTTGAAGTTCCGCATAGGCAGGGCTCCAAGGCACACTTCATCAATCATCGGCGGTATAATAATCTTCTCTCCCAGAGACGCCGGAAAACCTTCATTCAACAAAATCTCGCCCTTCACTGGACCCTCATTAGAATTTTTCTCTAATGGAAAACCTTCATTTAACAAAATCTCGTTCTTCACTGGACCACTAATAACTTCATACTCTCGAAAGTGGAATGGCTCTATGGACTTCACTGGTACCGGCCGGTTGCCTAATTGATGATGTCAGACTTCTGTCTTTTTATTTGCCAAGTTGTTGGTTGGTTGTACTTTGATGTCGAACGAG